TTAATAAGACATTATTCAACACAATTATGAAATTTTTTTGACCTTTTTTAATAAAAATATTTAATTATTTATTTAATTTAATTTAATTTAAATAAAAACAAACCATTTAGATTTTAAACGTGGTGCTACATTACGTGGAATTAAAAAAAGTGCTCGCATTGGATGCATTTCACATAATGCTAAATTTTTTAAAATAAATAAAATAAATAAAATAAATAAAAAAAAAAAGAACTAACGTGGTTGTCCTTCAGCCATTTCAATAGCTGTTATTCCTAATGACCATATATCACTCTAAAATAATAAAAATCGAAATCGATATATAAAAATTAATTTTAATATTAAATATAATCATACTCTATTATCATATGTAGCTTGAGGATTTTCATCACATGCAATTACTTCAGGTGCCATCCTATATTAATATTTATTTATTTATTTTTAAATAAAATAAAAAAAAAAAACTAAAAACAAACCAATAAGGTGTTCCAATAAAAGTATTTCTTCTTCCAATAGTTCTATCAAGTTGAGCTGATACACCAAAATCAACTAATTTAACTTCAGCATTTTCCGTTAATAAAACATTCTTAAATAAATAAATAAAAATAAAATTGAAAATAAATTTCTTATCAAACCTGTCCTTTAATATCTCTATGAATGATTTTATTTAAATGAAGATGATTTAAACCATTTAAAATTTCTTTACTAATAAATGATATCCATTCTTCTTTTAACGAATTTCCTTTTGTTGATTTAACTAAATCTGTTATTGATCCAGCACCACAATATTCCATAACCAACTTTTATTTAAAAATAATATTTTTCTTTTTTTGTTTTTAAATATATAATTATTATTATATTTACCCATAATTGATCATGTTCATTTCTTCCAGGCAAACATTTATTTATAAATGCTCCATAATACATAGCTATATTTCGATGATTTGAATACTTTAACAAAAACAAAACAAATAACTTTTTTTTTTTTTTATTTAAATAAATAAGATAAATTCAAACTTTTTTCAAAACATTAACTTCTAATTTGATTTCTTCTTCTTCATCCTAATTATAATTATATAAATATATAAATATGAATATGAAAATAAAATCAAACAAACTTGTGTTACATCCATAACTTTAATAGCAGCCAGTTGACCTGTTTTCGTATGACGACCCTTTTAAATAAATATTTAAAAGAAATTTAACAAAAAAACAAAAAAAAAAGTTTAAAATAACTTTATAAACTTGTCCATATGTTCCATTTCCAACAACTTCGATTAATTCAAATATTCCTGATGGATCCTTTTAACAATATTTTATTTAAATAAATAACTAAATAAAATTCGTTGTTTTTTCATTTATATTTACTCGAAGTTGATTAAGATCTATTTCAATTTGATTATTATTCATTGAACTTAACCAATATCGATTTTATTATGTTCAACTCTTTGAAAAAAGAAAAAAGAAAAAAAAAACGAGAGATTCTTTTATCGCAGCCATTAAGATAATCAATTGAGGAATTCCATCATATCAAATATAGATGTCACTCAACAACAAACAACATTTATCTTTACTTTTATTTTAGTTATTCAAATTTTTTTAATATATAAACTTTATTAAATATAAATTATGAGCGACGCCAAGTTCAAATAAAAAAAAATATCAATTAAGTTTTATATAAATTAATATTGTCTGTCGATCATCATCATTCTCCCTCTAATAATCAACAGTAGAATAGCACAAATTTGTACATAGAATATCTTAGGATAGGATTCGCGTATTTTCTTATACGATTCACCTATATGTTAGACCAACATTAGATCAAGATGCATCTTGAAGAGCTATATCGATTACACTCGTTACTTTTTCCTTCGGATAAAATCATCATTGAGAAAAACCTAAAATACTGAAAAAAAAAACAGTAAAAAAGCAACATTTTTTCAGAAAACCTGTCGCGATTCGCCCATAGATCATACGAAGTGCTGAAACGGTAGACAAAGATAGAATCTCGGCAAGCTCTATGGAAGGGACACCTTTTGAGTTCGATTCGATGCTCGGGTCATCCCCCCCCCCCCCCTTCAACCAGTCAATCCAGGCCATAGTTGAGGCATTTTTTCGGGTGGGTGTGTGGGTGCGCGTGGGTGTGGGTGAGTGTGTGAGTGTGAATGTCAGTGGATTGAAGATCTACACCCACACCAACACCCTATCCTGGCAAACCTTTTCTATAAAATGCTTGATTTCTATTGGCTACTCTCAATCAATAGGATTTGGGGATGAATACAGCTCAGATTTGAACTCTTCGCCTTGATTTACCCTAAGAAAGTCGTTTTTCCTATAGCTTGATTTCTATTGGTTACTGCTCAACCAATGGGATTTCGTGGCAAATGGAGTACAGATTCGAGTTCTCCGCCCCAGAAAACTTCGAAGTATCCTCTCCATGGTCGGAAGATAGAACTCTAATTGTGGATCAATTAGAGTGTGGACGAAAACAGAACCAATTTCCGTTTAGTTATCTTTGTAATGGTTGAGTTAATCTTCTAGTTTCTTTATGTTTTATGTACAATTTTGTAGCTCCTGAAATTCCCTATGGAATGGTATATAATAGTTGGGGTTTTATTTGTCTATGAGAGAAAAAGTTTTTTACGAAAGCGGGGATAGATCGATCTTCCCATAGGAACGCATAGGAAAAAATGACTATTTTTGCAATAACTCAGCAATGACTCGGCCAATCATTCTCATCCCCGAACTCGACCGAGATATTGTTGAGACTAAAGTGTGTAGAAAATTTCAGCGCGTTTGGACTCTCTTTTCGACAGTTATCGTGTAAACGGCCGGACGCACTGGCCGATTCTAGAGTGTACTCACTTCTTGAGTACATAAAAATTTTGAACTCATTTTTTTGCGTTAAGGAACTCTTTTTTTCTGATAAAAGCCAGCATTCATAAAAATTTGGTCTTTTCACAAAAGAACTAAATTACATAGATGAGTCGTCCTATAATGTATGGACATGAAAATTGTCCTTGCAAACCTCACCTTTAAACATTTAATTTCTGTTGGCTGCTGCTGAACCAATAGGATTTGGGAGCGAATACAGCTCACATTTGAACTCTTCATTTCGAGTTACCCTAAGAAAGTCGTTTTTTCTATAACTTGATTTCTATTGGTCCCTGCTCAAGCAATGGTATCTCAAGGCAAATGGATGACAGATTCGAGTTCTCCGCCCCAAAAAACCTCGAAGTATCATGTCTGTGATTCGAAGGTAGAGCTCCATTTTCGGATCAACTAGAGCGTGGACGAAAACAGAACCTATTTCGGTCTGATTATCTTGGCAATAGGTGAGTTAGCCCTCGTGTTTCTTTATGTTTCATATACCATTTTGTAGCTCGTAAAATTCTCTATCGAATGGTATATAATAATCGAAGTTTTATTTGATTATGATAGTAAAAGTTTTTTACGAAAGTGGGAATAGGTCGATTTTCCTATAGGAAGCCATAGGGAAAAATGACTATTTTTGCAATAACACAGAAACGGCTCGGCCAATCATGCTCATCTTCGAACTCGACCGAGATATTGTTAAGACCGAACTGTGTAGAAAATGTCATCGCAATCGGACTCTCCTTTCAAAAGTTATCGTGTAAACGGACGAACGGCTGGACACACTGACCGATTCTAGCGTGTACTTACTTTTTGAGTACACAAAGAAAATAATTTTCTATTTTCATAAAAAAATTGTAATTCCATTTCATGTAAGTTTCGTACCACATCTAAGTGAAAGAAATATTTTTATTGTGTACTCAAAAAGTGAGTACACTCTAGAATCGGTCAGTGTGTCCGGCCGGCCGGCCGGCTGTCCGTCCGTTTACACGATAACTTTTGAAAGGAGAGTCAGATCGCGATGGAATTTTCTACATAGTTCAGTCTTAACAAGATCTCGGCCGAATTCGAAGATGAGAAGGATTGGTCAAGCCATTGCTGAGTTACTGCAAAAATAGTCATTTTCCCCTATGCTTCCATATGCGAAGATCGACCTTTCTCCGCTTTCGTAAAAAACTTTTTCTCTCATAGACAAATAAAACCCCAATTATTATATAGCATTCGATAGAGAATTTTACGAGCCACAAAATGGTATATAAAACATAAGGAAACAAGAAAGCTAACTCACCTATTGCAAATATAATTAAACGGAAATCGGTTCTCTTTTTGTCCACGTTCTAATTTATCCACAATTCGAGCTCTATTTTCCAATTACAGAGATGATACTTCGAGGTTTTCTGGGGTGGAGAGCTCGAATCTGTGCTCCATTCGCCTCGGAATTCCGCTAGTTGAGCAGTAGCCTATAGAAATGAAGTTATAGGAAAAACGACTTTCTTAGGGTAAATCAAGGTGAAGAGTTCAAATCTGGGTTGTATTCACTCTCAAATTCTATTGGTTGAGCAGTAGCCAATAGAAATCAAGTGTTTATAGAAAAGGTTTGCCAGGATAACTTTTATGTCCCCACATTCTAGGATAACTCATCTGCCCCATTCACTTTTTGAAGTACACATAACCCTCGGATTTAAATCCGACGTTTCCACATTTATTTAATTAACACTTACATTTCAGTTCAATGATGGTACATATCTAAATGAAAACAATTATTTTATTTTTTCATAAATTTATACTTAGACTTGGTTTAGGTGTTCTATTACATCTAAAGAAAAAACAAGTTCCTGCATATTTTTTGCGTGCCGAACAGTCATGTATGTTAATTTCAAAAGCTACGCGTATATAGAAAGAAATCTGATAAATCTTCTGTATGCTAACCAAAAAGCTTTCGCTTTGGGGATACGTTTTGCATTAATTCTTTTTGAATAAAGAAAGGTTTTATTTTTTATTTTTCATCAACGTTAAATTAGAAAGTCAAAAGTCTTACTTTAACTGTTTCCACCTTGCACTTTTCGTCGATTACACTTGGTAAAAATAACTAAACAACACCATCGGTTAACCTCGCTTGACCACCGGCTCGGATTGTGACCGTTGGTTAACCGTGGTTAACCGTCGGTTTTTGAAAAAAAAACGACATGGGTAGTTGGATGGAAGAAAATCAACCTGTTCGAGGTAGTCTATAGTTGGTTGTCACATGTCATCCAGGTCGCTTTTACAAATACATTGTGAATAAAAGTATTTAAAGCAAAGAAGATAAACGTGAATGAATTAAGTAAAAATGTCGAGTATGAAGAAAGATGATAGCTTTTCTACAATTACCACCCAATCTGGTAAAAATGGTATAGTTTTTAAAAATTATCACTTTGGAATGAAACGAAAAAATAAGAATGGAACTGAAGTATGGATTTGTACACATAAAATGTGCAATGCTTCGATCAATATAAATGAAAGTTCAATTGTAAAGACCTCTTCTATTAAGCCAAACGGCAGTCATGAATTCGAACATCAAGCAAAAATGTCTTTAGAAGTATATGAATGTATCAAATCCATAAAACGACGAATTGAAGAAGAACCTACAGTACCAGTTACGTTATTATATGATCAACAAGTAAAAAAATTCAGACGTGATGATGGCAGTACTGCTTCAATTCCTGTATTCGATCGGGTGAAATCTTCATTATATGAATATCGATCATCCAAATATCCACCAGTTCCTAGATCATTATCATCAATTGATATACCTTATCAACCAACACGTACCTTATCGGATCAGAATTTTTTATCTTGCAATAATCATGATGCATCGGTACTTGACTTTGCCTTCTCTATTGGTATTAAACTTCTCGGTTCTAATGTTCATTGGAATGCAGATGGTACGTTTAGAACGGCATCTAAATTATTCTACCAGAGCTATAGCATTCACACTTGGGATAGTTTCAGCATGAAACCATTTATATATGGTGCATTACCCAACAAGAATAGCAATAGTTATGAAGTGTTTTTGAAGGAATTAATTATACATGCTAAAATTAATGGAATTTCACTTACTCCAGAATTGATTCTCATTGATTTCGAAACGACTGCATATCATGCTTTTTCTAAAAGCTTTCCAACAGCTAAAATTAAAAGATGCCAATTCCATTTTGGCCAAAATATTTGGCGACAAATTAAAAAGAAAGGTTTAGTTCGTTATTCATATGATGATGATGCCTGTCGTCAAATAGCAAATATTTTGATGTTACCATTATTACCACCTCAGGAAATAATTACAGCATTTACTGATATTATTGAAGCAATTAGTAATATAAACCAAAATTTTCTTAAATTAACTGATTATGTTCTTCGTACATGTATTGAAGAAGCATTATTTCCACCACCATTCTGAAATTTATTTGATCTCATTAGACTTCGCCCAAAAACAAACAATCATGTTGACGGCTATCATGGTCAACTAAACTCTCATTGTCAAACACATCCAAGCCTGTGGGCCTAGATAAGATACATCCAAGAATCTGAAGAATTAACAATAGTTCGGGTTGATCAAGAATATGCTCAACAACGTATGGCACGTCCCAAAAGACTTAGATCAGTGAAGAATAATGATATTTCGATTCAAGCAAAAGAAGAATATTTAAACGGTTTGTTTGATCTCAATGGTTATCAAAAGAAATTACGTCCACTCTTTTATCGATACATTCATTTATTCGATACAGCTGACAAAGATGATTATGATTATGAACCTAAAACTATTTAGATGTTCAACTATTTTTCAACAATGATTTCCCTGTAATTTTTTTCATATAAATCTTGTCTTGTTTCCACAATGCGGTCGTTCTTTTTCTCGCCTACTGATTCTGCTTTGCGGACATTTTTTTTCTCCCCCCCCCTGATTATTGATTGCCGACCTTTTTCCTTAATTAGTCGAAAAATTTGTCCCCAATCAAGGTATAGCCGAAATTTATATTCTCATATTCGTTTGTTAGATATATAATCATGATATATGTATATGAACGATTTATCTAAAGATGTATTTCATTTGAATAAACTTGAGCGGAAATCAATTGAAAATATTTGAAAAAAAACTTTCAATGAGGTTTGTTTTCTTTTCAAAACTATTCATTGATCTTTANGGACTTTTTGTGCGTACTCGTCGACTACTGCGAAAGTAACATGATGTTTGAGTGGCAAAGCACGCGCAACAGAAATAAGGTCTGCAATATGCGAATGATGTTGGTAGCTGACGAACAGAAAACGTGAAGGTGGTGCATGCGATTCCAATTGTACCAATTTCACAAAGAATAGAGACTTCTGATACGTAAGAAAGGGAAGATCAGATAAAAGGCCAACGGGAAGCTAGGATAAGAAAGAATGAATGAGAGGAAAGAAGAGACGGTCACATCACAATAATGCAATATTCTCGATAATCTTATATGTGCATACAGATGTAGCGGAGGAAAAAATATATTCAAGAAAAAAGAACGAAACAAAACTAGGGTACGATTTCCGATACAGGTTGGATATAACGATAAGAAAATGGTTTAAAAGCATCTTTACTTCTAGTGTGCACATATATCTGTAATACAAAATATTATGTTCATTTTCAGGAAGTATAGAAAATAAAATAAAAAGAAATTGCGTTCAATAATCATATACAATACGAATAATTAAGAAGCTGATGTTACTTTTGTTATTTCTGTCAATATTTCTTTGCTTGGATTGCTATGAATTGGAATCGCATGCACCACCTTCACGTTTTCTGTTCGTCAGCTACCAACATCATTCACATATTGCAGACCTTATTTCTGTTGCGCGTGCTTTGCCACTCAAACATCATGTTACTTTCGCAGTAGTCGACGAGTACGCACAAAAAGTCCGCGACAAACTCGAACCTTATCGGTTATTAACAATATTATCCCTTGGTCCCTCATTAAAAGCGAAGAGGACATATGAATTTCGTTATGAAGAATCGAACCTACAGTTTTTGAGCCGCGTTACATTTCCCGATATTATTGATGATTACGCACAAATTCACAATTCATTATTGATTCACCTTCAAAACTATTCATATGACATGATGGTATCAGACTTTCTTGCCTTTGCCGCGCAAGATCTTGCCCATGATCTGCATATACCTATGGTTATACATTCGTGTGGGTTTGTAATAGAGAGAGCTGACTCTCCGGCTTGGATACCACAATATTTTGAGTTCCTCTCACAACAACAATTGCGTGGCTCTTTCTTTCTACGCTTCTATAATCAGGTGGTGGTGCATCTTCTTATGAGGTATTACTTTGGATCACACTTAGACACACTCAATGGTCTCAGACGTGCATTAAATCGCACTGTTCCTGAAACTCGATACAATTTTGTCACTCGACATTGGGATGATCATCCTGTTCTCATTTCAACTACAATCGCACTCGAATTTAGGCACAGTTACAAACCGAATACTTTTTTCCTCGGTTTTACAATTGAAGATCAGAAAACAAATTATGTAAGTAAAATCCTCGAAAAATTTAACAAATGATAAGTTCTTTCTGAGTTCGTAATCCAATTAAATTATTTTTTTCCTCATTAAAAATCTGTCAAAAATATCATGTAAGCAATAACAGAGTTGCAACTACTTGAGAGTTTTCAAACTAACCCGACCTAGAAGGTATTTTAACCCACTGAGAATCGAGTGGTTCGAATATACTAGGTCTAGTAAAAAATAGGCCCATTTGTGAATGTTTTTCAGACAGGTTAAAAATGGTAGTTTGAAAAGAGAAAGCTCATATCCAAGCAAACAAGACATCAGATATACATTTAAACGTCTTAAAAAGTACTTCTTTCGAACCGTTAAACCCCAGTAAATCAATTCGCACGAGTGTGCGTATGGATGGAACTTTCATAGCCACTAATTACGGACGCATAAACATTTCGCATGTTTATTTAATTATGGTGTTGATGTCCAGCTTCCTTTACACGCATGTTACTTCTATAAATGCCCAAACGTGATACGCTTGTCGATAACATTAATATTAACGAATTAGAAACTCAAAATAATTAATGTACAATTGAGCGTAAATTATAATACTGGGTCGTTCTTTTTTTCTATAAAATTTTGTTTTGTAATGTATTTCGAAAAATCGGTGTGATGACGATAAGTTACGAAGATAGTGTGTCTTAAGAGAGAGTATGCCAAAATGCCGGACAATATGGTCGGAAAGAAATTTTTGATTTTATTATCTTTTTTAACGGGCCTTAGAGACCTATAAGCAAAATAGTCATTGTTTTCGTACTTTTTAATATAGTACAAAATGATTGCATTATTTCGAAGGTTAACACACAAATGACCTTAGCCAAAAGGAACAGCATGTCTGTCTTCTTCTTTCAAGCCATGTGTTTCTCGACTGCCTACAAACATCATCGTATAGAAAAAAACGAGTGAACAAAATGGTTTTTATTGAAAACATGGAGCATTTCTTGTAATTTTTTCACGTTTCTTCAAAGTATTTTGACTAATGTGATTCAAAATGGGAAGGAGCAAACATTCTATGACACCAAGATAAATCCCATGAAAAAACTGCGTCTTCTTGTATAAAAACATATGAGAAAAAAACAGTGAGCAGTCATTCATCTTTTTGTAAGTACGGAGCACGACTACATTGAAAAAAAAGAGGTGTCAAACGAAATTTTTCAGGTTTCATACGACTTTACCATATATTATTGGATATCGTTTGAGCGCTTGAAATCTTGTGAAGGGTTTCTAAACTTTTAGATTCCATATAATAATTCGTCCAGGTTTCCATAGTTGAAAAGTATCATACTAAACTGCATCATCTATGGTACAAACAGATGTTTACCGATCAGAAAGCCAAGCCATTGAAATTTTTTCGCCCGTCTATTGATTTATTAATAATTTTTCAATCGAGTTTTTATACTTTAGTGCTGGTTTTTGAGTTCATATCTTTGCATACAGAGTCTCTTCTCAGGAGAATATAGTGCATAAAATCATTTGTACAGAAAAGCACGACTTTTCCCGATTGTCAATGTAACTAAGACAATATTAGTATAGACACGGGCATTCCTGTAGATATCAAAGCAGAAATACAGGTGTAATGAATGAACATAGACTTTGGTCACTAGGGATAGATATAGAAGGATTAAAAATCAATGTATTGACAGTATGACAATCTCATCTAACGTGCAGATTGTTCCTTGCTCTCAACCGAAATGATCGTAATATCATTGCTTGTCTATTATTCGTTTCTATTTCTTTCTTTCCATATGTATGTTTCTATCCCTTTCTACATACAGTAAGGTGCAAAAGTTTTTGCCCTGCATATTGTTTAACTTTTTGAGATCATATCTCTTGAAGTTTCCGGAAAGATTTTTCGAGAACCTTCTAATATGTGAGGAGAGGTATATAGGTGTGCTTAAACATAGGGTACCACGCATGTTATTTCTCCAATCAATTATCAGAAAAATGTGATTTTTTCGTCAATTATAGTACATGTATGATGCTAATAATCTGTTATTATTTGAGCTCTATATCTCACTAAAACTAAGAATTATGAAGTGTTTCTTTATAATCATTTTGTTAGAGTATTACACATCTAATTTGTTAACATACGTCAATTATTACTTAGAAAATTAAAAAAGCTTGGGCTATCGGTATCAAAATTTTATTTTCAGATAGCTAATCAAGAAATACAACTAACTTATCATGCTCTTTATTTACGAATGGGATGTTTACTTAAATTCAGATTACATAGAGCACAAACGACCTGTACAATCTTGGTAATTTTATGAAAATCGTCAATAATCCCTCTGTAAACACCATCCATAATTGCGTAAGTTTTGAAACGTTGATTGATGTTTTCGATAGCTACTCTTGCACTATTGAAATTACGGTTGAAATTTGTGTCTTCAGTTGTTTGTTCACCCCCATGAGGTTTCTTTTTTGAAGTAATTACGTATTCTTCACCAATGTATCCTTTGTCAGTAATAATTTGAACATATTCTTCTGTATATTCTAATAATCCCGATTCTCTCAGAATTGTAATATCATGTACACTTCCTTGATAACATTCAGATATATGTACTATTTGATGATTAAAGTCACAAGCTATTCGTACTTTAAATGCACAGTTTGTTGAGCTTTTTGAATGGTAATAAGCTTTACGTTGTCGTGAATCATTAGGTTGAGGAATAACAATGTAAGTTGAATCAACTAGTAATTTATGATTTTCTTCAGGACCATATGTTGTGTTTATGTCAGTCATATCAGCCGGTAATGAAACTAGTTTTGAATATATACAAGAATGTAAGATATTCACAACCTCTGTTAAAATATGATGCACTGTTGATGGATCCAAATATAATTCAGCAGCAATATAGCATTCAGAGTGATAAAGCTTTAAGTACCATAATGTCACCACAAGCAAATTCATAGAAAATAAAAGTGGTGTGTTGATACTGTTTGATTGTTGCTTGGTTCTCTACAAGCAATAATTTATAAGTGATTGTTCACACATCGAATACAACTGTTGTACTTGTTCAATATCATGTCGTGTATGTTGTACACATGATTCATTAGTACGACCCCATTCAAACCACGAACGTTGTTCTACAAAATGTAAACAAAGGAATATATATTACTGATCTTTTGTTTGCGTAGTCTTATGACATGAAATCATGAAATAGGCCATGCACGTATAAACCAAGAGGTTAAATTTTACTTACCATCAATTAAGGTTTGAAGTTGTTGAATAGCAGCAAGCTTCTCTTTCACTTTCTATGGTTTATCTTCAAGTTCTGACGTACAATAAATACACTTATCACGATGTCGAAAACAGTGCGTGTACAATCCAGATTTTCCAGAATCAATACATGTCCAGGTTAACATCGAATGACAGTTAGTACAGTATTTTTGACGATCAGTCGTGGTAGATCGACATTGAGAACAACTCCATTCAACTTGTGGAGAGAACATAATACGAATATGTAAACGTTTGTATTCAGGTGAAAATATATTCAAGAAAAAGAAGAACGAAGAAAAGCGAGAAAAAATGATTGTAGTTAGAACAAGAATAATGTAACTGAAACATCAGATATAATAGAATGAATCAAATCTTATTATGCACGAAATATATACTGAGAACAGACAAGGTTGAGAGACAAAAAGAAGAAAGGAAAAAGACTACAGTCTCTGTCGCATGCCTCATGGACGATGATAAGCGTATGTGATACGAACAATTGACCCTTTACTAGGCATTGATGTGTATGGCTGTAGTTACTTTTGCTCACAAAGTTCAAATAGACTGCTGTTCGACAATTCTTTTTACTAAGAAATCTGTGCTATGAGGAAATCATATTAGGCCCGTGAATGTAATCGTAGCATTGAAGCTAGCTTTATGTTAAATAAGTTTGTTTCAAAATTTTGTACTCCACAAAATAGCCTAATAAAAATTGATGTACGTTAACAAATTATATGCATAGTACTATAACAAACTGATGATAAAGAAACACTTCATAATTATTAGTTTTAGTGAGATATAAAGCTCAAATAATAACAGATTATTAGTATCCTACATATACTATAATTGGTGAAAAAGACACATTTTTCTGATAATTGATTGGAGAAATAACATGCGGGGTACCCTATGGTTAAGCACGCCTATATGTAAGTATTGAGAGGAAGTGTATGAATCGAGTGTGTTGCCATGGGTTCCGTACGAAACTTCAACTAGGAAATCTTGTTTGAGACGAACGAAATAGTTTCGCGCGAAACCTTAATTACAGGAAACCTAAAAAGGATGTTGAATTCTTTTAAACGTCTAAATCCTTTTTCGATTCCGTGTGGTACCTTTTTTTCCAGTTTACACACTTTTTTAATGGTAATTGTAGTTTATTTCGGTCAGTTTTTCACTCCACTCATTTTTCGTTCATTGTTTTATCTACAATCCAACTCACTAAGTATAACAATATCGAACAGAATATAGAAAGCCGATGTACAATGATTAGTCTTATGTTGATGAAGGTCACTCTCCTCTTCTATATTGAGCTATACACGTTTGTAAATAATATTATTCCAAAAGGGTAGCGCTACGATTTCAAATACTATCAACAACGAATTTTTTACCAAATTAAAGCTCATAAAACAGTGAGATTTATCGATAATAAAAATTAAAAATGATGGTAACTTTTTAGTGCCAAACTCGTTAGGTTTCTAGAATTTGACGCCATCTCAGCATTGAAAAATTTCTTTTATGAAAAAGTTTAGACAAGATCTGATTTCAGATACTAAACATTATGAAATAATATTTTCTTTTCTAAGACTTCATGAATATAATCACTTAGCAATATGACGGTCATCAGCATTCGTTATAGCTCGTGGACTAAACAAATTCAAGAAAACAAAGAGTTTCAAATACGACAATGTTTGCTTTTGTGTTTTTGAAAAGACTTAAAGCAGCAGTTGTGTTTCAGAGTTTGCTAACGATAAAATGTATTTTCCTTCTCTCTCGTAGTATTTTTTTAACTTCATTTTTGTGTACTCGAAAAGTGAGTATACTCTAGAATCGATCAATGTGTCCGGCCGGCCCGCCGTTTACACGATAACTTTTGAAAGGAGAGTCCGATCGCGACGAAATTTTTTACACAGTTTAGTCTCAACAATATCTCGGTCGAGTTCGAAGATGAGAAGAATTGACCGGGCCGTTTTTGAGTTATTGCCAAAAATACTCATTTTTTCCCTATGGCTTCCTATAGGAAAATCGACCCATCCCCACTTTCATAAAACACTTTCCCTATCATAGTCAAATAAAACCCCAACTATTATACACCGTTCGATAGAGAATTTCACGAGCTACAAAATGGTATATAAAACATAAAGCAACAAGAAGGCTAGCTCACCTATTGCAAAGATAAACAAACAGAAATCGGTTCTGTTTTTTTCTGCGCTCTAATCGATTGCCAATTCAAGCTCTATCTTCCGATCACAGAGATAATATTTTGAGGTGTTCTGGTATGGAGAACTCGAATCTGTAATCCACTTGACTCGAAGCCCCATTGGTTAAGCACTGACCAATAGAAATCAAATTATAGGAAAAACGAGTTTTTTAGAATAACTCAAGGCGAAGAGTCCAAATCTGAGCTGTATTCACTCCGAAATCCTATTGGTTGAGCAGTAGCCAATAGAATTCAAGTGTTTACAGAGAGCGTTTGCCAGGCTAATTTTTATATCCACACATAGTAGGATGACCGAGTTGTCTCATTCACTTTTTGAAGTACACATAACTCTCGGATTTAAATCCGAGGTTTCCACATTTTTGTGTACTCAAAAAGTGAGTACACTCTAGAATCGGTCAGTATGGCCGGCCGGCCGTTTACACGATAACTTTCGAAAGGAGAGTCTGATCATGATGAAATTTTCTATACAGTTCAGTCTTTACAATATCTCGGTCGAGTTTGAAGATGAGAATGATCCGTAAGAAAATGGCTGAGTTATGAGAAAAACTGTGATTTTTGGCCAGACCATCCCTGAGGGGGTACGGGGATTTTTCGAAAAAAAAACTTTTGCTCGTAATTATTCACAAAATACATTAATCGACTCAGTTTTTAACGCTGATTCTGAATCTGATATTAGTTTTGAACTGAATCATAGTTTTGTGTACTCAAAAAGTGAGTACACTGTAGAATAGTCACTGTGTCCGTCCGTTGGGTTGGCTGTTTACATGATAACTTTTGACAGCAGAGTCAGATTGCGATGAAGCTTTCTACACAGCTTAGTCTTGACAATGTCTCAATCGAGTTCGAAGATGAGAAGGATCGGCCGAGCTGCTCCTGAGTTATTGTAAAAATAGTCATTTTTCCCTATAGCTTTCTGTGGAAAAATGGACCCGTCGCGGCTTTCGTAAAAGACTTTTCCTATCATAGTCAATCAAAACTCCAACTATTATATATCATTCGATAGAGAATTTCAAGAGCTACAAACTGATGTATAAAACATAAAGAAACAAGAGGAATGATTTACATATGACAAGGATAGTTAAAGAAAACTAGGTTAGATTTTGGTCCATGATCTAATTGATCCACAAATAGAGCTCAATCTTCCGATCATAGTGATGATACTCCGAGGTTTTCAGAGATGGAGAATTCGAATGTATACTGCACTTCCATCGAAATACTATCAGTTGTGCAGTGACCAATAGAAATTAAGCTATAGGAAAAACGACTTTCTGAGGCTAAATTAGACAGAAGAGTTGAAATCTGAGCTTAATTCGGTCTCAAATCCTATTGGTTTGGCAACCCGCAATAGAAATCAACATTTTAAATGGTAGATTTCACAGTATAATTTTGAGATTCAGACAGTCTAGGATAATTGATTTGTATGATTCACTTTTTAGAGTACACATAACTCTCGGATTTAAATCCGAAGTTTCCGCATTTATTTATTGTGTACTCAAAAAGTGAGTATACTCTAGAATCGGTCAATGTGTCCGACCGGCCGGCCGTTTACACGATAACTTTCGAAAGGAGAGTCAGATCGTGATGAAATTTTCTACACAGTTCAGTCTTAACAATGTCTCGGTTGAGTTCGAAGATGAGAAGGATTGACCCTGCCCTTCCTGAGTTATTGCAAAAATACTCATTTTCCCCTATACCTTCTCTATGGAAAGATCGACCCATCTTCGCTTTCGTAAACAACTTTTCCTATCATAATCAACCAAAACCCCAACTACTATATACCATTCGATAGAACATTTCAAGAGCTACAAAATGGTATATAAAACATAAAGAAACAAGAAGGCTGACTCACATATCACAAAGATAATTAAAGAGAACTAGGTTATATTTTTGTCCACGATCAAATTGATCCACAAATAGAGCTCTAGCTTCCGATCACAATGATGATACTTCGAGGTTTTCTGAGATGGAGAACTCGAATCTATATTCAACTTCCATCGAAATACTATTGGTTGAGCAGTGACCAATAGAAATCAAGTTATAGGAAAAACGTCTTTCTTAGGGTAAATCAAGGAAAGAGTTCAAATTTGAGCTGTATTCGGTCCTAAGTCCTATTGGTTTGGCAATACGCAATAGAAATCAACATTTTAAATGGTAGGTTCCCCGGTATAATTTTGATGTTCACAGATTCTGGGATGACGGATTCGTATGATTCACTTTTTGAAGTACACATAACTCTCGGATATAAATCCGAAGTTTCTGCAGTTATTATTACAGTAAAACATCTATTAATGAACAGTCCTCCTAAATGAATAATTTGTCATACCGAACATTTTTTAGAACTCTCAAGCGCATTTTGCTGATGTTCAGCTTCTCTTGCATGAGCACTCCTTGATTCTGAATGTGAACGCATTTTTATGGTCCCGACTGTATGTATTGACCTTATCAATATGAATGTCAATAGAGGGCATCACTTGAATAA